GTGCAAGCCACTTGACCCCGCTGAGCTTCAGCTTCCTATTTGTAAAGCCGGGATGGTATCTCCTTCACCGCGGTGGCGTCCAGGCTAAGAGAAAGATGTGTTAAAATGTCCGGCACACAGTGGGTGCCTTCTTTCCCTTCGATTTTACTAGTTGTATTGTTAGTTAGGTGCGGCAGAGTGGGGGTTTGACTCTTGGGGACCCGGGTGACCGAGTAGAAGTGCCTTGGACACTTTTCTAGGCTGTGCATCTCTACGGAAGGCCTTGGCGCCCCTCTCACACGGAGGAGGCAGGGGGACGTTCCAATCCCCAGCATTTCAGTTTGCAGCCCAGCGCTTAATCATTGTGCAAGGCTTCCCCCTCTGCCTGAGAGGATAGGAGAAAGCCATTGCTATGACTGGTTGAGTGAAAAATCGAAACCGGAGGCAAGCTAACCAAAGTAACTCCATTTTTGTTGACTGCCAGATGACCTGCCCGCTACCCTCTCCCCGTCTCAGAAAGCCTCGATAATGATTGATTTCAGAATATACTCTGATGTACCTGGGATCTGAATGCTGTGATTAATCTTGCTATTCTTTAATATTGTTCCTTTTTTGGCGTTTCAGTTAACCCATTAATTTTACTCTGCTAACAAATGAGCCAAGCGGTTTTCTGTGGTTGCTGCCTTTATAAGCTGGCTAGTAATTTCACTGGCTTCTGCAGCCTGAGAAACACTTTCCAAGGTTTCTTGCAGCCCAGCTATAGCAGAATACAAGACTCTTCTAAATCCCAAGATATTCCAGTGGCTGTCGTTTATTTGAACCCCCAAACAAACCCACTGCCATAGAGCCACTTCTGACCCATTAGGCCCTGGATAAGCCTCAAGGTTTTGTCATTTATTTTATTTTTTCAGTTTTTTTAAAATACTTTAATTGGGGGCTCTTACATCTCTTATCACAATCCATACATTCTTCCAATGTGTCAAGCACATTTGCACATATGCCGCCATCATCATTTTCAAAGCATTCTCTTCCCACTTGAGCCCCTGATATCAGCTCCCCATTTCTAATCCCTTCCTCCCCCGCCGCCGGCCCTCCCTCACGAACCCTTGATAAGTTATAGATTATTTTTTCCATATCTTACATCATGGGCTTTGTAATCTGTACAGAAGCAGACAGCCTCATCTTTCTCCCTCGGAGCAGCTGGTGAGTTTGAGACCACCAGCCAGTGTTTAAGCAGGGCAAAGCCTCTTGTAACTGGGTCCCTCTTAGGGCTCAAACGGCGACTGAAAGAAGCCATCGCTGGCGTGGGTGAAGAGATGGGCATGCTAGGAGGTCTGCTAAGTGATCTCATTGGGCAGGCCACCTTTGGGACAAGGCTCTCTCCATAAAGCCTGAGCATGTGCAGCCTGGGAGTGAGAGAGTCCCATCCAGGAGTCACTTTGTGGATGGGAGAGAGTGGTGGTGGAGAGGTGGGCTTGCCAGGCCCCTCTGAGCCATCTGATTTGGGATAAGAGCTTTCTTTTCTCTGAAGAAACCGGGTCCCTAACAGACCCCAGGCTGCCCCAGGGTTAGGGACAGGCGGACATAACAAAGGTCAGGGAAGTTCATGAGTCAAAACCACCCAAGCCAGCTAGTGTACCCACCTGCTCAGATCCCCAAAGTCAGGGCTCCCTAAGGAAGGAGGGCAGGGCTCAAAGCCCCAGGCTCACAGAGGTCAGGAAGCAGCTGGCACAGCTACCTCAGAGGGGGAGGGGCCGGAACTGCAGGTAGGAATCCCATAGAGCCAAGTGGCCTTAGAGCCCATTTGGACTCAAGGCAACCGCCAAGTGGACCTGCACTTGCTTGGGTTTCTGTGGCTCTGACTTCCAGAAGCAAACTGCCCGGCTTTCTTCCCAGAGGTTTCTGGGTGGGTTTGCACTGCCGACCTTCCGACTTACCGTGGAGGTCTGGGGCCTGCATAGCAGCGGATGTGCTCTGGTTTAGAGCTGGAAGAACCTTGGAAATGGAGTCTGCAGGGATCTGGGGAGCAGAAACTCAGAGAGGGCTGCTGCAGATCCTGCCAGGCTCCTGGTCCCAGCATGAGCATCTTCCCACTGCTACACCTTAGCTTCAAGGAAGTGCATTCCAGGGAAGTGGAGTGGGTAAGGGGGAGATGAGATCAAGGAGTTCAAGAAGAAAGAGAATGTTTGGAAACTGAGTGTGGTAGCGATTGTACAACACTGCTTGCTTGATGTGATTGAACGATGGAATGGTATGATATCTGTATTACCTCCCAATAAAAAAGTTAAAAACAAAACATTCTCACAAGGGATACAGAACTTCAAGAGCAGGGATCACAACTCAGGCTAATAAATGTGACCTCCAGCCTATAGCCCCTTCAGGTCACAGGTAGCCCTCCTGCACCCTCACCCCTCACCAACTCTACCCTTGTCTACTCTTCCTCCTACACAGCACCCACTCCTGACCCCTGCCCTGCTATTGCAGGTGGTGGCATGTGTCATGGGTCGAGTAGTATCCCCTCCAAAAACATGCGTCAAGTTGGCTGGGACATGATTCTCAGAGGTCTGGCTGTTATGCAGTGATGCCAGGTATGTAATGATCCCCCATGAGGTGATCTAACAGGATAAGCCAATCAGTT